GGGGCAGGAGTGCATGGAGGGATGGACACAGGGAAGAAGTAACTACGGGGAGGAAGTGCGAGGGGAACTGTTGCATTGTGGTAAACTGTGGTCAATGTCATGAGACAAAATACATGTGAACCGCTGTATGGAAAGTGAATTTGCTCTGTAAACCTTCACCCAAATCACAATTAAAAAAAAATTTTAAAAATTAAAATAAATGAATAAATAAATAAAATGTTCTTGGTCTAAAACGTACTTCCCTTACTTTCTCCAGTCAAATCATTTCTACTCTTCAACAATCATTCAAATGTTATCTCTTCTTTGAACACTTCTCCAGTTTCCTAAGCAGAATTATTCCTGCAATACCTATAGCTCTTCATCTTCATTAGAAAAATCAGTTATATTTATAGTAACTTCCTTATGTGTCTTACACTCTATCATCAAAGGCAAGGAATGGCATCTTCATATCCATAGCAACCAGAATAGGCCTGGCACATAGTTAGGTATTAAGAAGTGTTGGCTGAATGAATTAATACTAGATGAGTTGTTCTTTTATATTACTTGCCCATTACCTGACCTCCTTTCAACCCTTCACCAATTACAGTAACCAAAATGTAAGGAGATTGCTAACGGAATCAGGTATCACTCGTACGTGCAAGGCAGAAATCAAAGATTCACCATGTCTATCAGCAGAGGGAAGAGATACCTTCACAAAAACAGCATTCAGTCGCATAGCAGCTAGGTTTAGAACTACCAACTCTAGCAGGAGATCCAACGCAATATCAACTTCACTGTCATTCCCACTGCAGATATGAGTCACTAGGGCACCAACCACCTCCTATAGGGGAAAGAGGACAGTGTGAAGCAAAAATATGGTTTGGTCATCCTATAGATTCAGGCCTGAGGCCGTTCCAATTTCTATTTTGTTAAAGGCATCCTATCCCATCATCTTATTCTATTACCTAGTTTTCAATAAGGTTGGCCTCAAGAGGCTTAAGGTTATGCTACCTAACTATATAACCATCCAGTCTTGACTTATTTCCCATAATTTAGCACTAAGCCCTCCTGATTTTGCTCCTTGACATAGTTATCCCCTTTTACTCATCTAGGTTAAATTTTTGCCTTTAAGTTGTGATTTTACTTGACACTGTTGAAATTTCTTGAAATGATGGCATTCAAGGAGCTAAACATTTTCTCAATATAGTACATTTTAGACTTATGCATTTCCAAGCAAACATGGGTCATGAGAGTACCTCTAAAACATTAGAGGGCTCAAAAATGTTCTTCCTTTCCTTTACACTGCTGCTCCGTAACAGTCATATAGTTTTTTTCAACTGCAGTAGCCAGCGCATCCCAGCTGCATCTATTACTCTGGTTTTTAAAAAGTTTGTCTTCATTTTGAAAAGTTCCATTCAGGTGTTTGTTAACATTAATAGAAGGTACATAATACATAACAAAAACAAAATTAAGAAAACTTAGTCTTTCCTTGTTTCATAATCACTTTTCACAAGTACAGCCCTCCTTCTCTGGATCTGTGCTATTAAATCTTATGTTCATGGGAACAGGTTTAGACCCTTGTGATAAACCCTTGAGCATTTCTCCTTAGTTGTTTTTCTGTTTTCCACCACACTTTTTCCCAGAGATTTCAAGGATCAACTGGAAGATAGTTATTTGCAGCTAAATTTAAAGACTGTCTGTCATTCTTATACTATCAAAACCACCTAGTAATCCTAGCCCTTTAAGCCAAAGTCGATTTGACGTAGACTTGATTTGGGCCCTAATTTTAGACTCAGAGCATACTAGAGCTCAGACCACAGAGTTCAGTCTTCCAGTCCAGTCTCTGTTTTATTGAGGCTGGGACTGCAACTGAACTTGCCCAAGCCTCAGTTGAGGGTTCTTTCTACTTCAGTGTCTTCTAACCAACAAAAAGTAAACTTCAGATAACATGTGATTCACTTGGAATTGCATTTCTTTCCCTTTCCCTGAAGAAATATTTGCCAAAATAAATATTTCAACATACCTGCTGGCAGTAAGCATCAAAAAACTTAAATGCATATTTGTACAGGAGACCACCAAAAGAATTTACACTCTGGTCTGGGGAGTGCAACAAACTCTGAGCCAGTGACAGAATGGATGGACAAACATCCTTAAGAACCTGTGAGGGGAAACAGTAGAGAGAAAAGAAGTCGTGGGAGAAACTTAGTCATTACAGCACTTAAGAGTTGCTCACTCTTTTGGGATGTCAGAGATCTCCCCAACTTTCATTTTAACTTCAGAAACCTTAATCTTTGTTTTTTTCAGAGTAAGTCTTCACTACTCTGAGTTTTCTCTCAGGATCACTGGGATTCAACATATGGATAAGAACTGAACTTGAAGCTCATGGAGTTAAATTATATGCATAACAGCAATTTTCCTATCTGCCTGAGTTGGGACTCGAACCCAGGTTTTCTAACTCCCAATTTTCTCACGCACTCATACTGCATCCCTGGGGATGGGATAGGCCTGCTCTGCCTTAGTTATGATTTGAAATCAGTGTATAAGATTCAGTACTAATTTCTTTTAATGATCAAGAATAGAACTGGTCATATCCTATGAGTAATGCAATAGATGGATGCTAATGAACCCAGGATAAGTAAGTTATTAAGTCCTTTACTGATATCATCATAACAAAAGTAATAATATATCTTATATACTGAGTAGGATATAATGCTCTATGGGGAAAATGCAATAAAAAGTTATATAGGGTTTCTGCCCTTGAAGAATTATAGCCTAAAACATACATCACTGCCAAAGGTAAATAAAGACTTAAAAATAACACAGACATTAATCCCATTCCTAAATATGAAAACTTAAGACCCAATTACATATTTCTTAGTTCCTAAGCCAAGCCCTAAACCACTAGCCCAGTGTGGTGGTTATGTTTTTTGTCAACTTGGCTGGGCCTGGTTGAGTGGCAGGGCAGCTGGTGGTAGTTATTGCCCATGATGAGACTGGCAATCAACTACATGGTGGGATCTACCACAGGCAGCTGAGTAGCTGCCTTTGGGATGTGTCTGCTTCCTGTATATAAGGAGAAACCTTGGGAATGGTCTCTAGCCTATGGCACGCTTGGACCCTGCATGTAGCCGTGTCGTTGTCAGCAGCCTGCTATGCTCTGCCGACCATGGGACTTACAATGGACTTAAGTTAATGGCCTGTTCTGTGGTTTGGTAACATCGGGACTGTGCCTTTTTACTTGTCAACCTTGGGGCTTCTCAGCCTCAGCAGCCAGCAGCTGTCTGAGTGAAGAAACACCTCTAGCTCCAGTGGGCTGGGAGCAGGAGGCAAAGCTGGACCCCAAGGTTGAGGGGTTTTCACCTAGCCCCTAGAGCCTGGCACTTTGAACTTGGACTTACAGCCTCCAAATTGTAAGAATAAACTCCTGTTTGTTAAGGCCATCCCATTTGTGGTATATTCTTGTCAGAATGGCACTAGGTAACCAGAACACCCAGTTTTATATGAAGTTCTACAGTGTTAATATCCAGAATATTCATTCACCTGGCAAAATATTATTCCCAGCTTACAAAATTCCAATTCAAGTGATTTAAATTTTAAGAGGAATGATGAACTAATGGCCAAATAATGATGATTTAATAGACTCAAACTCTTCTTCCTAACTAGCATTCCTTTGGTCCATTTTTCTCAGTGTTTTCAAAATTCTTAGAAGAGGATATAAAAGGCAAGCTTGTAAAAGCTGAAGATCACACAGAGCTACATAACTAAATAAGGAGCTAGGACAAGTAAAATGACAAATGCAAAATTAAGATTCAGAAAGTCTCAATGGGTTTGCATGATGGGCTCAGCCTAACACAATTCCAACTAAGCAAACATCTTTAACAGGAATCAACAGCAAGTAAGAACTCAATCATCGGGCTTCACAGAAAGTTTATGGGAGCTGTATTCAATTTTAGATTCAAAGTATAAGTTACATGAGTACATAATCAGGAAGACCTGAGTTGAAACAGTTACTATAAAAAAAGAATTCAGAACTTGAGTAAAATAAGTTCAACATAAACCAATTTGGTGGCCTTTTGGCTTAAAAAGGTAAAAAGTAATCTTAGGTTGGTTTTATTAACATCATTATGTCTCAATCTAGGTAAGTAATAATCCTACAAAGTTTTGAAATATACTGAGCTCCCTGCCAAAGAGTCATACCCAGGAAAGGTGTTGTCAAGATTCTCACACTGGGTAATAATAATAATAAAAAAACCCCAAACTCATTGCCAGTGAGTTGAACTGACTCATAGCGACCCCTCCTTCGGCTTCCAAGGCGGTATCTCTATGAAAGCAGATTGCCTAGTCTTCCTCCCAAGGAGTGGTTGGTGGGTTTGAACCTCCAACCTTCTGGTTAGCAGTCAAATGCTTTAGGCACTACGCCACCAGAGTTCCCTCACATTGGGTAGGAAAGGTTAATATGACTTCTCTGTAACTTCAGATTAATGTTGTCTGATTCTCTGACACTTACCAAAGAATGAGTACAGAATGTATTCCGTAGCAGCTGTTCTTGAATGCAGCCTGATCGAATCTTGTTTCTTAGCACCCTTTCAATGTACTTCTTTGTCTGAGTGTTGGTGCTATAGATGATGAGCAGCATCACCAGGTCAAAAATCTATTATTAATAAATATGCAACAGTATAGAAAAATAGGTTAATAAATCAGCTGCTCTCAACTTTTTCCTTTAAAACACAGAATAAATGATACGCATTGTTCAATTCCCATGGGAATAGCTACATATTCCCCTCCCCCCAAAACCCAGAAATATTTTTCAGAGAAATAAAGTGCCACAACTATGAACTACTGTTACCTCTTACTCAAGAAAACAATGAAATACAAGTGAAAGTGTGGTATTATTATGGAAATAACTCAAAATACATTCACATTTATTTAAATAAATAAGTAAAGACTAACTTGCTTGCTAAATGCAGTATATATTTTCACTGTCATTAAGAAAATTACTTTGTGAAACGTTGGAAAGACTATAAATGCCTCTCAATTATTGGAAAAGTTAAGTGAGTAAGAGTAATTTTCAGAATACTACACAGTCATTGAAATAGAGCAAGCCAGGTCTGTGTTTTTCGATAAAGACATCAATGACATGTTGTGAAGTAGAAAAAAATAAAAAAGCAACCTGCAAAATAATAATCATAGTAAGATTCTACTTTTGCAAGCATAATACACACATTCTAGAAGGATAAGATGAGCAAGTCCACAAATGCACACACATACAACTTGTATGTGAATAGTACAAAAAATTTTGGAAGAATGATTTTCTCTGAAGAATGGGACAGAGAGTAGAGGGACACTTTGTTTTTTATATTTATATATTCCTTGTAGGAGCTCTAGTGGCACAGTGGTTAAAACATTGATCCCCTAGACAAAAGGCTGGTGATTTGAACCGACCAGCCATTCCCAGGGAGAAAGATGAGGCAGCCTGCTGCCTTAAAGATTTACAGCCCTGGAAACACTGTGGGGCAGTTCTACTCTCTCCTATTGAGTTGCTATGAGTCAGAATTGACTTGATGGCAGTGGATGGTTTTTATATTCCTTGTGGTGGTGTTTAGCTTGTGTTACCTAATTAGCTTGTGTTACCTATTTTTAAAATAAGTTAAAAAGTCAAGCAGAACAAAAAAGGAAAACAAATTACTTGGGACATAACTGAATGCCCATTTTTCTAGACACTAAAATTGAGAATCATTGCAACAGAACAGAATTCAGTCATTAAAAATGACAGTGTAGAAGCATGTAAAAAAAAGTTCACAGCATCAAGAGAAAGTGCTCGCTTCAGTAGCACATATAATAAAGTCAAGAGAAAATAATCAGAATATGAAAT